GGGGGGGTTACTTTTCTGTTGCTTTTTAAACCTGTCTGTTTTCTATGTAGTTGTGCTGATATTAATTTACTTTAAAAACAGTCATTGTGCATGGTAGGAGCACACAGCATGCATAAAAGAGGTAAGCCATCTATCTCGGAGTGAAAAAAAAGCTTGAGTCAACTTGTCGTTATCCAGAAACAGCGAAATATTGTCGTTAACGTGGCCTTTCACAATACCCTGCACCAGTGTTCTTTATCGAATAGTGATGCCTCGAGAGATTGGAGGTGTAAGATCAAGCAGTAGGCTCATAACGAATGGTATTAATTTAAGGTCTCTTTAAGCACTATCAGGTTATTCAAGAGACCGTGCTTGCGGTATAACAGCAAGCTTCGATAGTGGTAGATGAGCCATGAAAATACTTTAAACATTCAATAAATATATGTATAATACGTGAATGAGTGTCTGTAATAGAGAAGTGAGTGAAGGGGGGGGGAGCTAAAGGTTAGAGACAGAGAGAGAGAGAGAGAGAGAGAGAGATCTGAGGGTAGAGAGAGCGAGTTATATGGAAAGAAAGAGAGAGATGTGAAGAGAGAGAGAGAGAGAGAGAGAGAGAGAGAGAGAAATAGGGAGGGAAAGAGAGAGATGCAAATAGAGAGAGGTAGAGAGAGAGATAGAGGGAGAGGTGGGGGGGGGGCAAGGAGAGATTGACTATAGGAAGGCTCAACTGAATTAGTAGTATGTTAACGACTGGGTATATACAATAGGGTGCATTTCTTTCTTATGATTTGGATCATTTTGTCACTTTTGGTTGAAATGGTCGATTAGAGAAGAGGTGATTGTACCACCATGTCTTAAGGTCTCAAAATGACCCTTTAAAAAAAATTTTGTCTGAATGTTTAGACAGTTTCTTCATATTCAGCTTGAATCAGCTATTTTACAGAAAACCTTTTGCTCCTTCTCTTATCAATTAATTGTTATTGTCCTTCTTTTTACGTATTGCTGCTCAAAAACTCTTCTAATCTTCAACATTTGAACGACCTGTGTTGTAAGTGCTGTAAAACTCTCATTCTTAAAAAAAAATAATTAAAAGGAATTACATGTATAAGTATTGACCACATGTAAAATCAAAGCATAATTTTTTTAAAGAACAATAGTTTGGTTTCTGGTTGATTCAAATGTCATTTTATTTCATTTCGCATGTAACATCCTCACGGTACACTAAGATATCAGACAAAGACTTTACTTTAACGTGCAGTGCTTGAACTGATAAGTACATCTAACAACAATGAAACACATGCAAGATTCCTTTTGGTGAGCTGTTACGCTGTTTTCATATTTGAATTGAACGCTGGGGGACTTTTTCTTGACACGGTTTTTTTGTCTATGTTCTGACATAATCGATTTTTGCGTGTCAACGTAGATTTGAAATCAGTCTTTCTTAGAAATTCGTAACCTGATTTGTGAACAATTCTGCCGAGACTATTACCTTTATTTTTGTGTGTATGTGTATATCTGTGTGTGTGCGTGTGCGTGTGCGTGTGCGTGTGCGTGTGTGCAAATAAATGTGCGTGTGTGTGTGTGTGTGTGTGTGCGTGTGTGTGTGCATGTGTGT